TATTGGTGACAATTCCTCGCAGAGTGTCCCTACTTGCCACACTTATGGCATCCAAAAGAAGATCAACATACACCCTCATGAACCTTGCTGCACTTGTCACAAGTACGACCCCTCTGACCTCCTAATTGCGAATCAGCGGGCTTGAACTCCTTCGCTGCAGGCTGTGACAGAATGGAAGCCTGTCTCTACTCCCTATTCTGAGTCTCAATCTCAATCTCTCGCCTCATCGCGACATCCTAATGTTCGGAAAAGGTATTGTATCTCTGGGTAGACATAAACTCCCGAATTTGGGTCTTGAGCATGCTCAAGTATCGTGATATCTGAACCTGCTCTGATGAAGCATATTAAGGGCAGAAGAGAGCCCTCCCAGTAAACATCTTGGTGATCTCCATCACCATCTCTGTTGTCTGTCACAAGGAGAGATACTCCTAATGGGTCTTTTGATAGTTGCTAACTGGGTTAGAACTGACTGGGTTAAAAGTTGACTGGGTTAGAAGTTCTAACCGAGTTAACTTCTGACTGAAACTTGATGTTTGATTTTGCATCCGACTGAATGTGAAAAATGACTATATTACCCTCATATAAACATTTTTACCATTTTATTTATAACATTACATTTTTAGAGGACCATCTTTACTAATCAAATTCATCCTAAAACTACCATTTTGATAAATAAGATAAAGAAAACACACATATATACACAACACCCTAAAAATGCATTTAAAGTCCTAACTTTTGTCTTCATTCTTTTCTCTTACCTCACGAAGCTGCAAGTTGTTCGTTCTTCAAGGCTTGTTGAACCAGATTGCACATAGTCCCAATAACATGTTGTGAAAAGGGATGACTAATTGCCTATGAATCATTGCTGCATAAAAAACACAATCACAACTTATAATAAATACAATAAATGATCCAAGTGCAAACAAATACCTACAAATAGGCCATAAAGGCTGATGAAGTAATTGAGTGGCTGTCATGTGCTTTAGATGAAACCCACTCAAACGATTTATAATAAACACAATCATCAATCAACAATCAACAAAAACGGATTCAATGAATGAAAGGGAACAGGAACAAGGTTTTTTTAATTCAATCGACATCACTAAGCAGGAACAAACACCAATTCAATCATGATTTCTTAATTTTGGAGTCACCTACAAAACCTTAACTCATTGACTTTCAAATCCAAAACAAATTTAAGTTTCAACATTAACCATATCAATCTTCTTCTCCGGTTCTGGTTTTCTGTGGAGTCCAAAATTGAAAACTGATTTAAGATACCTGAAATCGATCTTCAAATCCAAAACTGATTTAAGATACCTAAAATCGATTTCCCTTTCGAACCAAGAACGAAGAAAGATGAAAGAAAGCGTATGATCGATTAAAGGAGACGAGGACAAGGCGTGTCATTTAGGGCCGACTGACGACCAAAACTCGGTCAGGAGGTTTTGAGATAAATACCGAATCCTCGGATTTCTTTGGACCGAGTCCGACGATAAATCACCCAAATCAAACACAACACCGAGTCCCCTTTTCTAACCGATTTATAATCAATATCAAACAATCCCTAAGCCAACCTCTCTCTCTCTCTCTCTCTATATATATATATATATATATATATATATATATATATATATATATATATATATATATATATATATATATATATATATACCAAGGGAACATACATAGTGTGGAACATCTCAGATAAGTACTCCCAAAATCACAATAAAGATTTTCATTTTTAACTAAAGAGAAATCATTGTTTCAATCAACCCAAGTCATAAAAACCAAAGATCAAGTACAAATGTTCCAAAATCAATGTATCATAACATCTCCAAAACATATCAATAAAGGATATGTACGATCACTCCTTTGCTTTCCCCCAATCATCTAAAGTACCCAAAACATAAAACTTAAACTGTAAGCAAAATATTAATGAGTTCCCGCAAGTTACCTCACACAACCAAAAAAAATAACATCATGCATAAATGAGCCTTAAGCCTTTATGGATCGCCTCGCACGACCTACAACCGATCTAGACACCTCTCCGGACCTTCTGCTTGACTGGACCACCTCGTAGGCCTTTAGTCTATCCGGACCACCCCGTATATCTTGGCCTTCAGCACAAAGTAGGACTACCTCAACCCAGCAACCATAACATATCCATATATACAATAATAACCAGCAACACAGGTAATCATACAGATCTACCAATCTAATGCATGCTCAGTGAACGCAGGTAATCATATTGATCTACCAATCTAACACATACATAGCATAATATCAATCCAATATACCAGGATACATAATCAAGTGTGCCGTCATTGGTGCCTTCGACCAATAAGTATAGTAAGGAAAACTCATCTTAGAGTCTGAAAAGATAGCAGAAAAGAAAGTTGCTCCAAATGCCAACTTTACAAGTCACCTATACAACAAAAAATGACCTATACTCAAACTTCAACTTAAAATACCCAAAATAACCCTAATTCAAACTTGGTCAAACTCAACGATTAATGGTCAAAGTCAAAGTCAACTCCAGCTAGCCGCCATGCAGTGGCTGCTAGTCGATAAAACAGACGGGTCTCGAACTAGTCACCATGCCGTGGCAACCTAAGCCACGTCGTGGGGACTGGTCTAAACAGCTTAAACCATTAAGTCATTTTTCTCCAACCTTAAGAGCTTTAAAGCTCAGATCTGGTCCTTCCCATTGTCTTGATGGATAAAGTTTCCTAATTTATTCCTCAAGACTCCTCAATAAGTCAAGATCCCAAACCCTAACTTCTAAGGACAACTTAATACATCAAAACTCTTCTTAAGCATCCAATCCTTAGAGTTGCACTTCTAAAGTTTCCAGAATGACTTTATACTCCTAATAAACCCTAAAGATCGAGGCTTTATGGACATGCATGTCCAACGCATATCCTTTCCATTTTAGGTCAAAAAGTATGGTTTAATGACCAAAACTCCATGCATGACACCAAAACTCATTCATAATTAATATCCAAGATACCAAATACTCTATTTGACCTGGAGATTCATAAAGTTACAAACTTTATGAGATCCCACCACTCAAATCCATCAAGACATGATAAAAAGGGACAAAATCAAGAGATCTAATAACATGGCAAGGAAAATGTTGGATCTTGGACACTCACCATGGTCCAGGAGATGTACTGGCTGAAGAAAAAGATGCTTGCTAAGTAACTACTACACCAAGGGTTTCCTTCTCCTTCAAAAATCACCTAAAAGTACCAAGAATGAGCTCATAACTTCAATGGAGGCTAGGATTAGGGTTTCTGAGTTTGAGAGGGAGATGGAGGCTGAATGATCACGAAACCTTAGCCTTAATGTTATTTATATAGGGCCCAAAGCCCGAAATTAGGATTTTTCACTAAAAACACCTACCACGATGTAGCACCTAAGGCCACGTCATGGCAGGTCATTTAAGTCTCGCGGTCCAAAACATTCTGCCATGTCGTGATGATGCTCCACCATGCTGTGGTCACCCAATTTAAAGTTAATACATAAAAATGTTAATTCATACCTGGAACGGATGTTACATCTCTTTTACTTGGTTGTTGATATTATTGTTGTAACACTAAACAATTGTAAACTCTGATAAGTCAATGAAAGGTTTTGTAAAACCATATTTTGTACTATGATCCATTTTCACAGTAAATATACAACCTTGGTAAATTATGAAAGCTAAAAAGTGTGGTAGTTACAATAGGTTTCAACTAATTGGTTTGCAATGTCGTATCTAATGCAATGGGAAGTAAAAAGTACCCTACACGTATCATCATTAAGTCGTTAGCAAAATGGTATATACATTAATATTTTTTATGACAAGCTTTGTGTGGTGGACGAACACCATTATCACCGGCTTGGTAGGGTCATGAGAGGGAGGGGACAACAACTAAGAGAGGAGAGCAGAGAGACTATATAGGAGAGAGAAGGCGATATCACGAAGAAGAGAAAAGAAAAGAAGAGCTTTTATGAAACGATAGATAGAAGAAAATCAATTTGTATTTTATATCACACTAAATGATGTTTTTTTTATTGAATCTCCACAAAGGGATAATGAACATAATATATAAAAAGCAATGAAACATTATAAGCTATGATCCGATAAAATATATTAGGCGTATGAGAAATTAAAAATTCTTCTACATTTTATTCCTACTATCTTCCTACCCACATTAAATGGTGACAAATGAACTAAAACATTATCAATTTCACTAAATGTGTCATTAAATGACACATATCAACATTTGATATGATAGGATGATTAGTAGAAATAAAATGTAAAAGGATATTTAATTTCTCTAGGCCTATACAGTATTGGATTAAGCTAATTACATACACAATTAAATAATATACTCTAACACAATTGACATAAACTTTTGAATACGACGTTCTCTCTTTTATCTTTTATTTATTTTTATTTTTTTTTAAGACTCATTGACTTAAGAAACCTACTGAAAAATATTTAATTTTGTAATCAACATGATTTAATAATCTTTCCGATTTTCATACGAAAAACATTCTTTGTTTAGGATGTGAAAACTCTTATTTGTTCAATTCTTGTGTTCAAATCTCGAAGATACAACTCATTTTTATATTGTATAAACATAATACGACAATTTGTAATTATAGAAAATTGGCTATGGGTATAGAAGCAGTACAAGACAATATAGGCGACGTGGCGGAAGGAAGTGGCGTATACCGATAAAACATGTGGGTCCATGCGTAGTTGCAAATCCTACGCCATATGGTCCCACAATCCCTCCACTATCATCCTCAATCTCTTGCCCCATTTTTTCCACTCTCTCTCTAAAAACTTGCTTTCTCTGCGTGCAAGGGTTACCACAGACACACATCGATCGATTCCCCGTACACCATTCTCATTATTACAGTACATCTCTCTCTCTCTCTCTCTCTCTCTCTCTCTCTCTCTCTCTACATATACGTACATACACTGTGATGTATGTATAGGTTGGGTGTATATATATGTATTATGTGGGAGGCTGTTTGTAACCTTGCATGACTACCTTCCTCCCCTTCTCTCTCTCATTCTTTCTCTCTAAGATATTCATATCTTGAAATCTGTATAAGTATAACACCTTCAATCTTCTCTCCCACACACAACAAAACAAGAATTTAATCTTGAAGTGCATGGAAGTGGAAATGGATGCTTCAGGTGTAAATCATCATCATCATCTTCATCATCATCACCATCAGGTAAATAACTTACTGACACTTGTTTTGGTTTCTGACAAAACTAGAAAAAGAAAAAAAGAAAAAAAAAACAGCAAGTGTTTCATGAGTTAAATATGAATTTGTTTTTGTCCTTTTGGAGTGGCTGGACGATCAACTTTTGACGACTTTTAATTTCAAAGTAGATATCACTATCTCGAATTGTTCGAGTATAATGATCTTTGTTTCTTCAATTGAATTGGGAAAACATAAAGTTAGTTTTTTTGTAGCTGGTTTGGGTTTTTGAATTGATTTGGAATTTCTTAAACAATTTCATCTATTCCATTTCCTATTTGGAAGAAGCTCAGATTAAACCTCATTACAAAAACTGGAACACCTTTATTCATCTTCTTATCAAATCTTGGGTTTGAATCTGAGTGATAATTATGATGCAGTGGCTTCCATTATTTCAGGAGATTTTGCATTAAAAGAAAAGTGATTCTTGCACTTATTACACTGATGTACATATGAATTACCATATTTAATAATAGATTTATGCCAGAATAAGATCTATGTCAGTGTCTTATATAATACTTTAATCTTACAGGAATTGTCTTCAGAAACACTAGAGAGCATGTTGGTATGCACAAAAGCACAACAAGACAAAAAACCAAGACCAGCTGAACAAGCTTTAAAGTGTCCAAGATGTGACTCCATTAACACCAAATTCTGCTACTACAATAACTACAGTCTTACTCAACCAAGGTACTTTTGTAAGTCCTGTAGAAGGTACTGGACAAAAGGTGGGACCTTGAGGAATGTTCCTGTGGGTGGAGGGTGCAGGAAGAACAAAAGATCATCATCTACTTCATCTTCAGCTACTTCCTCTACTTCAACATCATCATCTGCACTCTCAAAGATCAGAGGAGCCCATGATCATCTCCTCAATCAACATCATCATCATCAGCAGCCACTTAGTTCCAGTAACCCTTTGCTTTCAGGGTTAACTCACTTGCCCTATGACTCTACATGTACTGATCTCTCCCTAGCTTTTGCTAGGCTCCAGAGTCAAGCAAATGGGCACTTGGGTTTTGATCGTTTAGATCATTTTGATCAAAATGAACATCTCTTGGGAAGCAATAACCCTAATTCTTCCAGTCATACCCCTACCAGTCATGGCGATCACCTAGGGTTTCTTGATGCGATAAGAGGTGGGTTTCTTGGGAATGCCCCTAATGGGTATCATAACGTGTTGTATAGTGGGGGTAATGTTGGAAATGGAGACATTGGTAGTGTTGAAAATGGTGGAATCTTGATGGGGATGAGCAATGCTAGTAGTGATCATGATCAAGAAATCATGAACCCAATGTTCCAAAATCAACAACATCTGATCAACAACAGTACTGGAGCAGCGACAACAGCAGTGACAATGTCTGCAATGAAACAAGAAACATGCCATGAGTTAGGGGAGAATAGAGGATCAGGAGGGATATTATGGGGATTTCCATGGCAGATGGGTGGTGGAGATCAAGGGGTGAATGTGGTTCATGAAGTTGAGTCAGGGAGATCACAGATAGCGGGATGGAATGGACTTGGTTCAACTGCTTGGCATGGACTCATAAATAGTCCCCTCATGTAGTACTAAACACATATGGTGATATGGTTTAATTAATTAGTAATATGTTAGAAGAAAATTTTAATTTTTATATATTGTGTTAGAAGAGGAAAACAAATAGGGGCGAAAGAATAGATTTTTGTAGTAATTAAAATCTTTTGGTGTTTGTTTAGTTTTTTTTTTTCTTTTCTTTTTTTGTGACTTGAACTAAAAGAGGCTTGTACTCCTTTCATTAACTAAATGGGTTTCTATATGTTAGTTTCTTGAGCAAGAACAATACAAGAATATCTTAAATATTAGTTTTCTGGTTTTGGAATCATACTTAGCTAGAAACGGAAAGAAAGAATCAATTCTTTGGGGTGGACATTTTGCTACTATGAATGCCTGTTTGATACTTTACTAAATTTGTTAGGACATCTATTCAAAGTTTAAATTGTGATGGTGGCTAGTTTGAAATCATTATGCTCTTGGATTGTCTCCGTCTATGCAAACATTCTAGTTTGGTAATAAAAGATGCACATCTTCTCTAGTTTTGGGTGGATGTTTGTCTTTAGAGGAAAAATATGATATCAACGCTCATTAAGTCATAACCAAGTCATTACGATCTACATTACATAGCACCCGCTGCAAATAAATAATCTAGCATTTGGATTTAAGTAAGGGACAATGTCATTAAATAACAATTAACTACCATAGCTCCACCTAAGTCACTTAAAACTTTTAAGAGGTTTAAACACCCTCGTTTTTGTTTCTTATAGTTACTGTGAATTTTATAGGTTTTTCAAGAATTAACCGGTTTCATCAATGACTCAACTTTTTGATATATATGATGTGGACTAGAATGGATTTGACGTTGTAGGTTGATTGAGACAAGTTTTATTGAACAGTACCAAGCTTTTAATTTTATATGAATGTTGTAGGTTGATTGATACAACTTTTATTAAATAGCAACAAAGTTTTAATTTATAGTGAATGGTGTTAGAATCTTAAAACGATAAAAGCCAAGAATACATGTTTCACATGTTTCCATGATGCTTTTTCTAGGATTCCTTTATGATATTCCTTAGGTATGTTTAATAAAAATTTGGGGGTAAATTTTATAGCATCTAAAGAATTATGTTTACGCTATGTGCATATATAAGATGTTTTGGTTATTGATTTTGGTTATATTTGTGGTTGATGTTTATGTAGATTTTGGACTTCTTTTAGTGGATTGATGCGGCTATTTTAAGAAACATTTGGATTTTGAAGATAGAGTTGGCATTTGACATGTGTAAATGTCTTGATGCGAAAATGTAAGCTTCTCCGTGAAAGACTTAGAGGTCATGCCTTGTCATGGTGGACCATATTGAGAAGGTTGATTGATATGGCTATTTTGAGATCATTGACAAGGAAACCATTTTTTTGAGAAACTTTAAAATACTTTTATGCACGGCTATGGAGGTAATGCAATTGAAGAACGACTTTCTTGTCATGAAGAAAAGAGATGAAATTATAACGGGGTATTACACAAAGTTTTTAGATTAGATCGACTTCTCTCTTTGTGTTGGGCCCGAGGAAATATCCGAAGAGATATGTTTATAGGTTGTCTTGGGACTACCACATGCATATGAAGACTACAACCACACTTATCGTGACCACGTTTGTGGTGAGAAACACGTGTAAACATCTTATCATGAGAGATAAAGATAAGAAGAGTGTCGGTGGAAAACCCAAATTTGAAGAGAATATGAGTCACAATAAAAAGATAGAGCTGAGAAATGTGGACACGAAAGGAAATTCTAGTAGGAATTATGATCGGTGAGTAATGTAAAAGCCCCATTATTGGAATGTAACAACCAAATTGTTTTCAAATTAAACATATATATAACTTTCATCCATCATTAAAATAAAAGAATCATTTGATACAAAGAATTCGTCTCAATAATACGGAAGTCAAAAACCTAGGTTACATCATCATATATATTATAAATGAATTAACTTAAAATCATAATAATCTTTAATTAAGTATGTGAGAGTTTGTAGCAGTACAACCGTGTCATTTCCCGGAAAAATGTTAATAAACAACGGATGAGCGAAAACGCTTAGTCAGCACACAATATCTACATATTTCACTACATGCAATGAGGTATACGATTACATACAAATTAGAATGATATAGTCCCTACAATAGCCTTACATCAAGCTAAGAATGCTATAGACCCAGTTATAGTCTTATATCAAGCTGAGAATGTTATAGACTTAACTATAGTCTTACATCAAATTGAGAATGTTGTAGACCCAACTATAGTCTTACATCAAACTGGGAATGCTATACATCCAACTATAGTTTTCATCAAACATGAAAATGTTATGGACCTAACCATAGACTTACATTAATCATGAAAATGCTACGAACTCAACCATAGTCTTACATCAATCATGAAAATACTATCAAACCAACCATAGCCTTAAATCAACACCCTACATGATTCATACACCCAAACCTTACTTAACACTTTTAGAGTATTCTCCTTGGTTATATTGTTGGTATAACAGTCTGTTCATGGACTGAGCTACCCCTTTTATCCCCATTCATTTTGTAAGATAATTATTTATTATTTTAGAATACTCTCTTAGCTTTTCGTGGATATAAATACACATTCTGACAACTTTTCTATAAGTTTATATAGATTTTACAAGTTGATTATAACAACTAGTCAACATTTCAAGAAGAATATGCATAGTGACCGAGGTCGTTGTCTCGGTCAAAAATAAACCAACTAACCTAAGAAGATAGGGTAAGTCGGGTCGAATCCACGAGGAGTTCGTGGTTAAACTTTGTGTCAAAATAATCAACAAAAAATGTATTCCTAGCAACTATCACGAAAAAGATTTAAACAAAGATCAAATAAAAAGCTTGGAAATTTATTAATTAAGATGAAAATATCAATGAGAAAACTAGAGTACTCCCGGTTCAGTTATAGATAGTTTAGATTCAGAAACTTTCTTCCCTAGAATCCTAATTCAGCTACTTCGATGCAATTGGGGTTTATTAACTTGTAGCACAAAGTTTTGGGCACACGATATGTTGATTCAACTAGTTGTCTTACTCCTTATGTCTAAATGGATTAGGAACAATTAATGAACTAGCAATAAAGTGTCTTACAACTACTTATTACCATATTAAGATTCAATATCATAAGTTGGAATAATATATGTTGATTCAATCACTTGTCTTTATTCCTAAACTAATTGAACTTGGAACAAATGATGAATTGACAATAGACTATCTTAATTATGACATCAAACAAATTCATACAATCCAATTTCAATTATCATTACCAAAAGATTATCATATGAAACATAAAAGAACAATTGAAATTAATTAGAACCATGTAATAATCAAGTGTGTTCACCCAAAAGTCCTAAACATCCCCGGAAGTAACCTAATGATTTAGCCTTCCATTGAATTCATAAAAACACTAACTTGGATGAAATAAATGAAATGACTAATAAAATCCATACACAAACTTAGAACCATCAAACAAATGTAGCCTAATGATTATCAAAGTATAGAACAAATAAAACTTAGGGAAGAAGGAATAATTTCTGCAAAATAAAGAATTGATGAAGATTAACCAATGAAATGATATTCACTTATAGCTTGATGATGAAATCGATGAACTCTTGCCGAATCCGGATTGAAAGTGACTGGATTTATGTTTCCAAGGGTTTTAGAAGTTTCAAAAACGCAGGAAAAACTCTTAAAATAGGTGGTGGGAACCCTAAAAACGAATGCATAAGTCCCTATTTATATTATTTGGCAGAAAATAGTGAGACTGGGCCATGTGGGACGTTGGACGTCCTAGGAGACATTTTAGACGTCATGTATAACGCCTAGTCGTTCTTTGTACGTCTTTGCATGCCTTCTAATGTCCTTGAATTACACTAAAAATTGGCCAAAAACGCAAGACGCCTTAGGGGACGTCTTAGACGCGTTCTAGGACGTCCTTCCTTAATTCTTATGCTTTCCGAGACACACCATTCCAACACGGGACGCCCCTAAAACGTCAAGATGTCCTAGGGACGTCTTAGACGCCATGTAAGACGCCGACGGGGTCGTCCCTTTTCCCTGTTCCGAAATTTTGCTCAGGTGCTGACCGTTTGACTTGGGCGTCATAGGGGACGTCTTTGACGCCTGGAGGCGTCCTTCACCTTCCATGTAATTTTTGGTGATCAAAATAACATAACTAGCAGAAACGCAAAACACGAAAGTTGTAGAAAATATTGTCTAGTTACCAGAACTTCTTTACTCATGTCAATCGAAAATTCAGAACTTGAGATATGACCAAAACATTGAAGCATGGTCAATTTTCCCAGCAACGTTTCTTCATTCTTTTAGCAATTTGTTTTACGTGCAGGTTCCGCCCACTTTTAGTATAATATATTGACCTGCATATGAAGTTTAACAACTCATCAAAGTAGTGCCATTCTTGGAAAATTGTACATCAATTCAACAGATTTATGACAATTTAGTACATTCATAAAATAAACTTATCAAACCTCCCCAACTTTATTCCAAACTCGTCCCGAGATTGGCCAGAAATAATCAGCGTAGGCTTAATCTCTCATCCTAAGAAAAATTCAATGGAATCACGAATTCTGTACATTTTAGCATAATATTTTCAATAGCACGATATATTGATTTTGGGGATTATTAGTTTCTTATCCGGACTTTTAAACTCAAAATACATGTTATGCTTATTTTACTTTGTTGTTTGAAGCCCTCCACTTTTTGAACCCTTTCCAATAATCAACCTCATGAGTAATCAGTTGAACTCATTGCCAAAGTCCCGTTTTCAAGGTTCACTAATATAGTTATCGCGGTCAGTAATACTTAATGGACCAACCCATACACTCCCTCTATCGAGGGGTCACATATTGTTTCACACAATGTCTTCAACTTGAACTTTTCTTCATATTCATCTTGATTGTGCATTTGTAACATCCCAAAAATCAAGGATAAAAATTTCATTTATATTATAATCAAAACATAGTTGTAACTTGATTTAAACATTTAAAAACGTTTCTAAGTAACACAATTATCAGAGTGGAATCCCAAAATCACGTATTGCGGAAAACACGGGTGTATGCGCTGCGATCGCCCTGAGATCTTTCATTTGAAAACTGGAGTACCTGAAATATAAAATGAAAACCGTAAGCA